GATGGGAGGGGCAGGAGTTCAGGATGTTCTTTAGGGACTGAGGTGGGAATGGGGTAAAAAGAACCAGAACACCAGGAACTAATCAAGCACTCACCTGTTTTCCTCTTCATCAACCTCACGTCTGCAGGCTGAGGGCCTTCAAAGGACTTCATCATTTCTCGAATCTGCATAGGATTTTATACATTTATAGTTAAAGTTTCACCCACATGCTTATTCCACACCAAAGAAAGTTCAAGACCTAGGGATTAAACTAAGTGCTTAATTAGCCAAGTTTCAAGTCTTTAACTTCCATCACCCTATAAATGGAATTTAAGAATGAGGAAACATCTCTCATAAAATCAATGTTAAGTCTTGGAGCACTTAAATTGTGCTCATATGGAACCTGTACACAGACAAAAGGCAGCTGTTTATTAGAGTAAGGGGATACTGTGTAGTTTAAAATCCAGAAAGACAAACACCAGGTTGTATCCTTTTACCATACTTATTCAATCTGTATACTGAACAAATAATCCAAGTAGCTGGACTATATGAACGCAACATCAGAATTGGAAGATGACATTAATAACCCGTGGTATACAGATGATACAACCTTGCACGCTGAAAATGAAGACTTGAAGCCCTACTGATGAATTTAGTCATCAATATGGATTACATTTCAATACAAAACAAAAATCTTCACAACTGGACATAAGCAACATGGTAAACAGAGAAAATATTGATGCTATCAAGGTTCTCATTTTACTTGTACCCACAATCAATGCTCAAGTAAGAAGCAATCAAGAAATCAAACAATACACTGCACTGGGCAAATTGCACTGCTACAAAAAACCTCTTCAAAAATGTTACAAAGCAAAAATGTCACTTTGAGGACTAAGGTGCATCAGACTCAGTTAATTTAAATGAATGTGAAAGCTGAATAAAAAATTAAGACTCAAGAAGAATAGATGCATTTAATTATATTTATGAAGGTTAAAAATCCATAGACTGCCAAGAGAATGAACAAATCTTATCCCGGAAGAAGCTCAGCCAGAAAAGAATGCTCCTTAGAGACAAATATAGAAAGACTTCATCTCATATGTTTTGGAATCCCTCGACACTTGGAAGTTCTTTTTGCTTTGTAGTTGACTTCATTATGCATTGGCATCTCTGGTTCCCTATTTTCAGTCTTGCAGGTTTGTTTTACTTTAAATACTTGTAGCATAGTGGTTAGGAATCAGGCTGCAAACCTCAGGGTCAGCAGTTCGAAACTACCAGCTGTTCCACGGGACAAAGATGAGGCGTTCTGCTCCCTTCAAGATTCACAGCCTTGGAAACCCCGTATAGGGTCGCTATAAGTTGGAACGACTCCACGGCACATAACAACAACATCTGGATTGAATTTGGAGTGTTGTCATCATGCAAGGTAATCTCAGATTGTTGTCTGCTGCTGCCAGCTCTCAGTTCAAAGAACACCCTTTAGCAATTTTGTAAAAAGTTGATTTTGTCATTACGAATTTCTTTATTTTTTTGTTTATCAGGAAATGTCCTAATTTCGCCATTGTATTTGATGGGCAGTTTTGCTGGGTATATGATTTTTGGTTGGCAATTTTTTTGTCTCTGAGTTTGTGTATGCCATCCCATTGACTTCTTGCCTGCATGGTTTCTGCTGAGAAATCAGAGCTTAGTTTTATTGGTTCTTCTTTAGAGGTAACTTCATTTTTCCTGAGCTGCTCTTGGGATTCTAAACTTTATCTTTGATTAGGGAAAGTTTGATTATGATATGTTTTGGTGATTTTCTTTTGGGATCTATTATGTTTGAGGTTTGTTCAGCTTCTTGTGTGCTTATCTTCTTTCTAATCTTACATGATGTTAGTGAAGTTTTCTTCCAACAACTCTTTAACAATTGTCAATATGCTTTTGATTGTCTCTTCCTTTTCTGGAGTTCCAACCCTGTAAATTGTTCCTCCTTATAGTTTTCTTCTGATTTTTTTCATTCTTTTCAGAATATGAAAATTTAAAAAGGCAGAGAATATGGTTTATACCTGACCTTGGAAACACATCTCATTAAAAATCAAAAGTAAAAAAATTAGAAATCTCCTGAAGATAAATATTCCCTGCACAATATCTTAAAACAAAAATAATGTTCCCATATCTATAAATAATGGTGAAGATACATTTAAATTCTTATGCTCCTAATAAAGCATGTATTAATTTAGCCCAGAAAAAAAAAGTATATTGTCTGCTAGGTATGTTGTGGATGTCAGATTAAACCCATATTGTCGCCTCACTACCAGTTACGTTATTACTGTTGTTAAAGTGCCATCTAGTTTGTTCCGACTCATAGCAACCTATATGGGGTTTCCAAAGAGCGGCTGTGAGTGTGAATTGCCCATCCTGTGGTTAGCAGTTCAGTACATACTATAGTGTCAGGAAAAATGGGGCCAAATTTGTGAAAAAAAGAGATTAACAGCACCATATTCCCAAAGTCAGATACAAAGGTTGCAAGTATATGTCTATTTCCTTTCACACAAATACTACAATAGCCAAATCCCACCATGAGATTGTTCATGCTTAGTAACATAGTAACTAAGAGTTAGTCACCTATAAATGAAGTTGATATTATAACATGTATGCCCACACATTATGTAATAAAGTAACTAAATATCACTGCTCAAAGTTTACAGTTACAGGTCAGTGGGGGAGGCAAAACTAAAACCACAAAGGTGATTACTGAAGTTCAGGAAATTAAATACTATAATTTTTTTATAATGTTTTATTGTGAATTATAAATACTATAATTTTGATGTTTTAATATGAAGATACTGACAAAATATTACTTGGAAAAACAGCCTACTTACGGTAGGCACTTCTGTTTCCCTGAAGAAAGCCTGAATTGTACAAGCAATTAAATCTTACTTCATTACCAGTAGGGCAGTCCCCAAAAGTCAGCTATTCTTACCATATTATTTTTCTTATCACTTCCTCGGCAGGTTCCAGGGCAGGGCCACTCTTTCCCAACAATTACTGAACCAACAAGTCTTCCTGTAGGATTCGTTACCTCCTGTACTCCACATACTTACTGGTGCCTCTACTCAAGCTCAGCTCTTACTAGCTTTGGTCTCCTTTTTTCCCAATATTATTCTTCCTTCCATAATTGAAACTTTAATAGTCTGCTATCAAAGACTGTGACACCGACCCTAAGAGTACGTTTGCACTCTCCCCGACCGCTCCCAAAGCCCTTGACTCCAATGGAATCAAACCGGTTGTGTGTTCAGATTCTGTTCCTTTTCATGGTGGGCAGGTCTGCACCTGTGATTTTCCTTCCTGAAGGCCCTTCCATCACACCTTTCCCCCCAACTCCACCAGAACAAAACATTTCTATACTTCAGGAATCAACTACTATCTCCATGGGTCTTTCTTATCTCTCCAATCTTCTATTCTGAGTTATGTCATCTGTCAGCACTGGCTATTCAATCTAAATTTTTTAAAAGTCAGAAGCCATAGTTCTGCATCAATGTAGCACCTAATAATAAGCACAGTGTAGCAGGCATGAAGTGGATCACGAATAGAATCTTTATCCAACATTAACTCCAATACCACATCTCATTCACATTCATATGAATTACTTTCAGGACTTAGAAACCCAATGCTGTACAAACAAAATCTTCAGCTCAGTTGAAAATTCAACTAAAATATTCATCATGGTATTACTTTGAATACTAAGTGAAAATACAACATTGTCCTAGTATTGTTTTGGCTAACAATACTGGGACAATGTTGTATTTTCACTTATTTATAAAAAATCGATTCACATTTTCACCAATAATGTTGCAATGAGCAGCCCACTTATGTTCAAGGTTTGGAGGCAAAGATAAGACAAGCAAGGAAAAACAGCTGGATGTTCACAGTCACAGGGTAGGTGTCACAAATATGGTGCTTTGGAAAGAGAAATTCTGACTATTAGGAAAGGCTTCACACAAAGGAGCCTCCAAGTAGAAAAAGGTATGCTCGTCCAAAGGGTAATTTAGCAGACAGTGGATGTAGCTAGAATGAAAGGGCGAGGGACAGAGATGCTGCTGGAGACCAGGCAGGACCTAGCATTATCAAGGACCTCACTAGATAAACTGAGAGAAGCTGGGGAACGTGTTCCTTTTCAACAGATTTCTCAGAGGTTTCAATCGGATGGTATAGTTTTCATCAAATGAGATTGTGGCCAGGTTATGGAGGATGCTATATATACATTAATGAAATACATTCTCAACTAATAGAAACCAATAAAAAATAACTTACTTCCTTCTATGGGCTATTAACAGAACAAGACCTACTCCTTGTAATCAAAGAACTTTGGAAAACTCAACTAGACCCGCAAGTCTTAAATATAAATGGGAATTTAGCTCTGAACCAAGTTGAGAGAATTCTATTCTAAAGATAAAAATGAATTTCACTCAGATATTTGCTTAAAGCAAAACATTAGAAAATAATGGTAGCAGCTGAAAGTTTGTTGTCCCTACTTGATGGCTTGTTAACACTGTTTCCTTACATCGCTCTCTGTGATGGTGATGGGAAGGCCACGCAGCATGATGGTCTTACTCTCCCTCTCATCACTGATGTCGTGCCTGTAGTCGTGTTCACCATAGTCGCCATCGGAATGGTAGCCATCTTCTGATCGGTCACTGTTTCTTCTTTCACGCTCCCTCTGATTTACAACAGAATTGCAATTAAAATCACATTTAACATAGCTCTTCAACCCCTAGGAAATTTATCCGTAGGGAGAAAATCAACAGAGATGAAAACATCATGATGATGTTCTCTGTGTTGTTTGAAAAATCAAAAATGCATTTAATTCATGAAGAATAGTTAAAAAAAAAAAAAGGCAATGCAAAGTTACATGGGCAATATAATTACTTCTGCTGCTGTTAAGTGCTGTCATATCAGTTCTGACCCATGGTAGGTTCAAACTGACTTCATGTGGAATCTTCTACACAAGATTATGTAAGCATATGGAAAAGAATGTTATAGGTATAGTATTATGCCTCCATAATCTCATCTATAAAATAGGAACACCCACCTACCTTGTAGAGTATTTCAGACACAGACATACAGGCTGTTATTCCTATTACTGTAAGGCTCAGTTTGTCTTTGGGCATTAGTCAATTCAAGTATCTGAGGGGGCTTCAAAGAGTTTAGCATTTCAAGTCCCTTTAGTATTTCAAATTAGGTTTTATTACAATATTTAAAGGGTCACTTATTCAAGCCAACCAAATCTAATAGTTCTAATAGACAAAAATCTCCACATAGCTGCAAAAGATTTCCATTTTAAGAATGTAGGTAGGTTTTGAGCATGCGATTAATGATTGTAATAACTGCATAGATACTGGTCACTCACCTCTGGACTATCATAATCTCGGTAGTCATCGTATCTATCACCCCTCCGATCATCACTAGATCTTTTGTAATCTGAGTCCCTCCGTCTGCTTCTGGAATCACGGTCATCCCGGTCATCTCTATCTATGATGGAGCCGTACCTTCCGCTACGCTCTGTTCTACTCACTCTGCCAAGGAAGAAGTGTTCATTTAATCCAAAATAAATTACATTTTGTACCTTTAGAAAAAATGGTTGCAAACACAGACTACACTACTTATTCTATAATATATACCCAAAAAGTTAAAAAAATTTCTTATGATTATCAAATTTCATTTACAAAGACAACCACTGGGGAAACACCTACATCCCTAAATGCAAAGAAAATTCTCGAGATTTTATTTTAACCTTGAAAATATAGCTATCTAATGTTTTTGAGAGTCAAGTTATCCAAGTTTATTCCTGCATTTCCCCAAGTTGATGGTCAACATAGCACTCCTTCCATTTCCGATCCAGCTCTTAATGAACAAAGATAGAATGCCCGGGCTCATTCACAATCGAAAGTATAAATACATCTATGAGAAATGGATCAACAACCTGGATGATCTAAATATTTTTTCCCACTTACACATGACAGGACAGTCACCTAAAACAGCTAATGACAAGTGGCTTAAACGCACTTGACAACAGATATCAACAGTTCTTTCATAAATTGTTTACTAAATTGGGCAAGGACAAGAAAGGCAAGGACAAGACAAAATAAATGTTTACAAGGGCCTCTTTCAGAGTGTAAAAATATAATTAAAAAACAAAATACAACAAACCCTAAGAAACAGGTAGTATATGGTTGTTGTTGTTGTTAAGTGCTGTCAAGTTTGTTCCGACTCATAGCAACCCTGTATAGGGTTTCCAAGGAGAGATTAGAAAGTTTGAACTGCCAACCTTGTGGTTCAAATTGACCTTGTGACCCAGTGCTTTAATTCCACAGCACCACACCAGGACAATATGTGGCTAAGAGATACTCAAAGGGTAAATGCTAATTTAAAAAGTAATTTGGAGTCACACACTGCAGAGGTAGCATTAACACGATGAAACCACATGACCCAAGTTTAGGTGATCAATATGATCCATTACTGAGGAGACAAGTAGATAGATAAGAAAAGGTTTTATATAAATCACCACATGGTCTGAGAAGAACTATCCATTCATAGGCTACATGTTAGTCAAAAGCTCTCATCTTAATTCCCCACTAACTTTTTCTTGCCTTTTTTCCTCGCATGTAACCCATAGTCCTAAACTTTTCAGATTCATAAGCTAATTGTACTATTTAGGGCACAATAACAAGAAATGAATCCTGGTGTGGCACTGTAGGATAAGCACTAGGCTGTTAACTACAAAGTGGGCAGTTCAAACCCACCATCCACTCCTTGGAAACCCTATACATGGTCGCTATGCATCAGAATGGACTCAATGACACTGAAGGAACAAGAAGAACTGATGCTCATGAGTTCTCACCAGAGTGAGACACTATGAATTATCTCCTGGATTTTGGATAGAATGTTGTTCACAACAAGAAACCACTCTATTCCACTCACTTCCCTAGCCCTTACTTATTCTTCAGGCTTCATCTCAGAGGATAGTTTATCCAGGAAGCTTTTCTGGCTATTTCTAGGGAAACAAATGCTTCCTCTGTCTTCTAAAAGCTTCTCTGATCACAGCACAGTCCAGTACGTTAATTCTCTCCCTAGACAATATACTTATAAGTACAGGGATCATAAAGGTGCTCACTACTGTATCTTTATTGATGAGCAATGTCTGGACACGCAAATACTGATTTGATAAATATTTTAAAACAAATAGTTCAGTCTTCACTGAAATGTTGGTAACCAAGACATGTACTGTAACTACTTACCGTTTGTCTGAACCCATTGTCCTGCTGAAGATCTAGCTCACTGCTCCAAAAGGCTCAAATTGTGCTTTTTTTCCTAGGAGACAAGGTTGGTTGCTGCAAATTTGAGACACCACTTAAGTTACTGAATAAATACAATGGGATACCACTAAAGACTGAATTTCATCAGTTACTAACATGGGGGAGGGGAAGATGGAACTGACTGGTCAATAAATAGAAAACGACTCTAACATTAGGTAAATGAAATAAAGTTTAAAATATTTTACATTCTATATTCAACAACAAAGTCATAAAAGGGCACGGGCAAGGAGACTCCCTCCTTGCTCCCTAGGATTACAAAGCAGAAAAGGACAGAGCTGTAATCAGTTTCCTGCGTTCTAAATCAAAGCAACTCCGATGTGGTGGTAGTTGCAGGTTACAACATTAACCAAAATGTCCTGTATTAATAAAAGTACAAAACACAAAAAATTTCTGAAGAAAAATTCCGAACCACTTAGAAAAAGGGGTGTTGATTTAATGAAAATCTACACCATTTATAGCTCAACGGCAGATCCAAAGCTATTTCAATCAGACAAGACTTAATTACTCGGTAACAATAATCATCGTGTCTGGAGCCTGGTCTGATCACCCATTGCAGGCTACCAAAAGGTGGCCAGCTTAGCCCGCCGCGCCCTGAAAGCGATAAAACATCACTCACTCAGCTTGACCGCGTTTGATGTGTGCGAGGACTGGTCTACAACAGGCGTTCACAACGATCTTTTGTTGAATTAATAAATGGAAAAGAATTATCTAGAGGAAATAGAGTCCTGGGAGGAATCGTTGGTACCCCTCGCCAACCCCGAGGCGGGGCGGACCCCCCTCCGTGAGGCGTCGCGGCCGATATGGCGGCACCACGGCCTGCTCGCCCAACCAGGGCGTCCCGCCGGCTCTCTCTGCTTGCACACGCCCGCACCCCTCCCAGAGGTTCGCAGCCCGCAGATCTGCCTTCACTGAGCCGGTTGCCGGGCTCCACGGGCCATCTGGACTGGCCCTCCAGGCGCCGACTCAGACCTTGAAAGAAGCGGGCTCAGGGCTGGGCTGGGGCGCTCAACGGAAACTGACAGCGCTGAGGAGAGGAAGCGGCGCAGCCCTCCAACGCCTATGGTCTCTTAGCTCGAGACAAGCCTGGGTCTAGTCGGCCGCCGCCTGCGGCTGACAGAGCAGCCCAAAGGCCTGCCTTGATGGCAAGAACCGATGATCGTTATAGACGGCCAACGCACTTACTCCAAGTAGGGCTGAAGCAACAGCAGTAGCGGTTCGGCGCACCGGAACCTCCTGCAGGGTTCAGCCGTTCCACAAAATGGCGCCGCCTCCGACAGCCGTCTCCTACCCACAGTACCTCGCGCCCTCCTGCTCTCCTTTACCTCCGCCACGCCCCTCTTGTCGAAAGCGTCCAATCAGCGCAGGCGCCTGGCTGCGCGAGGCCTGCCGGGAAGTGTGGTCATCAAGGCCGACTATCACTATACCCTGAGTATATCTCTTACATAGTTCTAGACCCTTTCTTCTACTACTAGGGCAGAGTTGGCAGTTTTCCCGTTGCGGATACTGATGAGAGTTCTCGGACTTTTTTTTATTAGGAGTGATAATGATGTCTTTGTTCAGGACTTTAGAGAGGGCATTTTTACATTCACTGACACAATGATGTTAAGTGCTGTGGAGTTGGTTCACACTCATGGTGGTGGTGGTTACGTGCCGTGGAGTCGGTTCTGACTCATAGTGACCTGTACAGTGTTTCCGAGGCTGGAAATCTTAACGGGAGCAGAAAGCCTCATCTTTCTGCCTCGGAAACAGCTGGTAGTTTGGAACTGCTGACCCTTAAAGTTCGCAGCCTGATTCATAACCACTATGCTACCAGATGCTCCTTGACTCATTGTGCCCCTGTAAAGGGTTTGAGGAGCTGCTGGTAAATTCGATCTGCCAACCGTGTGGTTAGTAGTCTAGTGCTTTCCTGTTGTTGTTGTTGTTGTTGTTGTTAGGTGCCAACGCTAGCGACCTTATGCACAACAGAACGCAGCGCCTTTAATCCAGCTTTTCTGAGAAGGAATGTTAATTGATTTCCTACTGAGTCACCTAACGCTAAATTAGATTACTGTTAAAATGTAAAATGGAATATTAAGCCCACTTTGCAGATAAGAAAATTGAGATGTTATTAAAATTAAGTGAATTCTTGAAGGCAGGTCTTCTGAGGCCCTTTTCATGTCCATTCTCTAAGGAAATAATTCAGAAAAGTTATTATCCAGGGTTAATTTAACAATTAAAAACCCTGATTTCACAATTGTTAAACTCTGGGCTGCTAATCCAAAAATCTGAAGTTCAAACCCATCAGTGGCTCTAGCTCTGGTGATCTGCTCCCATAAATACTGCAGTCTACAAAACTCTGGAGCAGTTCTACTTGGCATGTTATTGTTAAGCGCCATTGAGTCCATTCTGACTCAGTGATCCTGCATAGGGTGTCTGAAGAGTGGCTGGTGGGTTTGAGCCACCAACCTTGCAGTTCAAACTGACCTTGTGGTCCAGCGCATTATCCTGCAGCACCACACTAGGACCCCCTACTTTGTCATATAGGGTCCCTACGATTCAGAATTGACATGATAGTGCACAATAATCTACTACTTGGAAGTTGAATTGGCATCTCAACACACCCAAATCCAACCTGTGCCTTCCATAAACTTCCCACAGTAAAAAATGGGAACAACCTGCTTCCAGTTACCAAGAACAAAAAGTGAGTTATCTGTAACTCCCCCCCCACAACACACAATTTGCCACCAAACCTGTTCTTACCTTTAGCTGTCTCTATTGCTTTCCATCCTCATTAAAGTCACCACTACTATAGTTGTTTTACAAAAACAGATCGCATAGTCAACAGTGGTGGAACTGGGATATGAACTAGTTTGGTTTCAATCCTTGCCCTCAGCAGCTAGAATGTAAACTTCAGGATGGCAGGAGTTTATTTCACTATTATATTGCTGGGAGTCCTGGTACAGCGCGGTAGGATAAACGCTGGTCTGCTAACTGCAAGGTCAAACCTACCAGTTGCTTCCAGGAAACCCTATACAGGGTTGCTAAGAGTTGGAATTGACTCGTTGTCATTCATCAATTGTATTGCTGAGCACTGGGTGGTGATATAAGATAAACACTGAACTGCTAACCAAATGGTTGGCAGTTCAAACCCACTAGGTACTCTTCGGGAAAAAGATGAGCAAACACATCTACTACCAAAGCTAAATGTGTAAAATAAGTAGTGAAAAGAAGCAAGGATCCTTGAACCAGAGGGATGCTTTGGACCCTGTTAAGTGAGATACCGATATGGTGATATTCTTATGCATGTTGTTGCCATTACGTGCTGTCCACTCTGGTAGTGTAGTGGTCACGAATTGGTCTGCCAACTGCAAGGTCAGCAGTTTGAAACTACCAGCTGTTCTGCGGGAGAAAGAGGAGGCTTTCTGCTCCCATAAAGATTTATAGCCTCAGAAACCCTGTACAGGGTTTGAGTCAGAACCGACTACATGGCATACAACAACGTCAGTTCCAACTCCTAATGACCCTATATTGGGTTTCTGAGGAGCAATGGTGGGTTTGAACTGCTGATCCTACAGCGCCACCTCGGACACGTATACCTACTATATGATTTCAGAAATATATAATTTTATAGTTTAATGATTATTTTAATAAATAACATCACACAAATAGGATAAATTACACCACAACATAGCAAAGAAAGATAGGTCATGGAAAACCACACATTTCTTTTTGGTTAAGAAATCTCTCAGAAAGCAAGGAAACAGTAAAGAGTTTCCAAATCAGGAGTTGTAACTATTCTAGAACATCTTTTTTTCTGGGAAAAGCATCTTTATACATGCTCCTAAATATGGCTTATCTTTCCATATCAGGGGCATTAAGTGCCTGGCACTGAAAATTCTTAAGGTAACTAAAACATGACATTAAAAGGAAAGCTAGAAATCTCCTTCAATTTTGGAATGATGGGTAATGTTTTTTCTATCTGTATGCATGGAGTCCTGGCTGTAGTGCTGTAGGATAAGCACTGGACTGCTAACCACAAGAGTGATAGTTCAAATCCACCAGTTGTTCCTTAGAAACCCTATATAGAGTTGCTACAAGTTGTAACTCAATTGATGGAACTTAACTTCTGTATTTTACTGTATTTTTTATGACTATATGAATTTCTTTTAATTTATATTATGTATGTCTATCAATCTATACATGGTGTAAAGTTTTCTAATATCAATTTTTATAATGAGATAAAAGTACATGTATCTGACCAAAGGCGGCAAATATTAATGAAAAAAGTTAAACAGAGAATGAAGCAGTTGTCAAGAATCTAGAACTCACTAGAGAGAATAGCATAAGTAGTCAACTGCTTTGTCCTCAGAGAAGTTAAAAAAACATTTCTGAGCTTCAATGCTTGCTGGGCTGGACTCACCACCAGCCATAAAAGATACATGACTGCTCATAAATGGCACAAAATCAATCTTAAAACAAACAAGAGGCCCCTAATTGAAAAAAACAACAACACGTATTTCATTCAGAGGTTACGTTCCACCTTCCAATTTATCTCTGGTTGCTGACCCTATGTGAACATGGTGCTGGTACTCTAGTACCCTGAGGAAAAGGAGTTGTGTCCTCAAACATCTGTCTAGGGCCTGATAAGAATCTTAAGAAGCTGTAACAAGTACTCTGGTTAAGTAAGAAAAACCAAGACAATAAGAGGGATTTTTGGTTTGCTTTAAAGGAGCTGCACATGTTCTATATATAATAAAGAATAGTGCTTTAAGATGGTCATGTATTGAATTACGTCTCCTAAAAATATGTGTCAACTTAGCTGGGCCAGGATTCTCAGTCATTTGACAATATGTAATGATTCCTCACGATGTGAATGGAAGTCAATCGTTAAGAAGATTGAGGTAGGATGCAACAAACAGCCCTGGTCTGATGTAAGGGCAGTTTTCCTTTGGTGTGGCCTACAACACCTTTGTATCTTATAAAAGATAAATGGAGCGAGAAATGCACATAGAGAGGGAGACCTA